AAAGGGGTATCCAGGTGTTCCCCTATCTAGATGACTGGCTCCTGAAGGGGAGCTCGGAGTCACAGGTGCGAACACACATCACCGTAGTGCGCGCACTCTTCGACGATCTAGATCTTTTGTTAAACCTGGACAAGTCATCCATAACGCCCACTCCGATAATAGAGTTTGTGGGAGCCACCCTGGACTCTACCTCGGCCAGAGCCTCCCTACCCAACTCCTGGTCTATCGCGATACAGGCAGGGGTCAGGGAGCTTTCCAGTGACCACCGCACGGACTTGCATGTGCTTCCTGGGTCTCATGGCCGCCTGCACTTACATAGTGCAACACGCCAGGCTGTGCATGCGCCCACTACAGATGTGGCTATTGCAAGCCCACAACCCGGTCATCCATTCATGGAACAGAGTGGTGACGGCCCCCACTTCCGTCCTCCTCGCACTGAACTGGTGGGCCAACCAGGCAGAGGTCTTCACAGGGGTACCATTTTCCAAGCCGGGACCGTCCACCCGACTCGTCACAGATGCGTCAGACACTGGCTGGGGAGCCCACCTGGGAAACCTTCACATGCAAGGTATGTGGTCTGCGGACGAGATCTCCCTGCATATCAACATCCGGGAGCTCCAGGCAGTCTGACTGGCTTGTGTGGTTTTCCTTCCCCACCTCAGGGGCAAGTCTGTCCTCATCCTATTGGACAATACGACAGCGGTGGCGTACATAAACAAGCAAAGTGGGCCTGTTCCCCTTGCCTGTGCTTTGAGGTGATTCACCTGTGGGAACTTTACATTGGGGTGGATATCCGCCCGATGGCCTTGTATCTCCCAGGCTCCCTTCCTAATACCACCTTGGAACTTTCCCTTGCAACAAACCCCGTTGCCAGCTTTGTCCACATATTTGCTCTGCTGACACCATTATTGGACCTAACCAATTGAGTTATAAGATCAAGAACACATATTCCTGCTCATCCAGAAATATAATTTATGCTATTATGTGCCGACAGTGTCCGTCTGCGATGTACATCGGACAAACGTCTCAGACACGTTGCCAAAGAATCCATGCACACAAAACAGATATCAGACAGGATCACAAAGAAAAAACAGTTTCTTGCCATTTCAACCAGAAAGGACATTGTCTCAACGACCTTACTACCTGCATCCTGCTTCAAAGACATTTTAACACCAGACTTGAAAGAGAAACCTCTGAACTGTCATTCATGCTTAAATTGCTGGCACACAGCAGGATCAGCACTTTCGGGGGTATCTGTTGGGGAATTCCAAAAGGGATCATCGTCCTCCTCCCCTGATGAGACTCTGGGAGACCCTGGACCATCCATGGCCTCTATGGACACCAGGGCCCACCAGGATCCCCTCTGACGTCTGGCCCAAAGTTTGGGAGTCCAGACGGATAGGGTGTCCTATGACTTGGATCCCGCGGTGGACATCCTTCACATGGACTCCCTCTTGTCCCGGTGTGCGTTTAACACCTGTACCTCGATGGACAAATTCACAGACCTACTCCCCGAGAGTCCTGCGCAGAATTCAAAGCTCTCCACGAGGAGGGGAGAATGATTTCTAGGGTGGCTCTCCAGACGGCTCTAGATGTGGTGGATGCTGCTGCCCGAGTAATGGCCTCTGTGGTGGTCTTACACCACAGTTCCTGGCTACAGGGTTCTGGGGTTCCTCTAGAGTTCCAGAACACCATACAAAACCTCCCTTTTGAAGGCCCCTCTCTTTTCTGAACAAACTAATCAGAGGCTCCATGGCCTGAAAGACACCCGTGCTACCCTAAAATCATTGGGCATGCACACCCCGGCTACCCTGAGGCGCCCTTTCCCCATTAGGAATGTTCCTAGAGCAACTCCCCAGGGTCCCTGTACTGACTTCTCCCGCCATAGAAGCAGAAGTGGTAACAGCAGGAACAACAGGCATCGCCCGTGCCCAACCCCTGATCACAACCAGGGGCCCCCAACAAACCCTTTGGTACCCATCAGGGGTTTTGACGGGACCTATGAGGGCAACCTTCCAGTCTCCCTATTTCTCTTCCGGGACCGTTTATCCCACTTTATCCCAGCCTGGCGGTTGGTCACTTTGGACTGCTGGGTGCTTGAGATAGTGGAAAGGGGTTATGTAATCCCTTTCCACTCTTCTCCCCTTTCTAGCCCCCTACTCCGTCCCTTTTCAGGGACCCATCTTATGAGCCTCTGCTTAAAGAGGAGGTCCAACACCTCCTTACAATGGGGTGGCAGAACACGTTCCCCCCGAGTTTCGGGGGAGAGGGGGTCCTATTCCCGCTACTTTTTGGTCCCAAAATCCAAAAGGGGCCTGCGTCCTATCCTGGACCTAAGAGCCCTCAACTCCTTCATTGCCAAAGCAAAGTTCAAAATGGTAACATTGGCGTCCATAATTCCCTCACTAGCCCCCGGAGACTGGTACTCTGCCCTCGACTTAAAAGACGCTTACTTTCACATTTCCATTGCCCCCCACCACCACAAATTCCTTAGATTTACTGTGGGCCCGGACCACTACCAATTCATGGCCCCCCTGTTTGGTATTTCCACGGCCCCTTGGGTTTTTGCCAAGTGTGTGGCGGTGGCAGCCGCTGCACTCAGAAAAAGGGGTATCCAGGTGTTCCCCCATCTAGACAACTGGCTACTGAGGGGGAGTTCTGAGTCGCAGGTGTGAATGCACATCACCGTAGTGCGTGCATTCTTTGACGATCTAGATCTTTCGTTAAACCTAGTAAAGTCATCCCTAATGCCCACACTGATAACAGAGTTTGTGGGAGCCACCCTGGACTCTACCTCAGCGACAGCCTCCCTACCCAAGTCCCGGTTTCTCGCAATACAGGCAGCAGTCAGGAAGCTCCAGAACTTTCTAGTGACCACCGCCTGGACTTGCAGGTGCCTCCTGGGTCTCATGGCTGCCTGCACTTATGTAGGGCAACACGCCAGGCTACACATGTGCCCACTACAGATGTGGCTATGGTGAGCCCACAACTTGGTCGTCCGTTCATGGGACAGAGTGGTGACAGTCCCGCTTCCGTCCTCCTCGCGCTGAACTGGTGGACCAACCAGGCAGAGGTCTCCGTGGGGGTACCATTTTCCAGGCTGGTACCATCCACCCGACTCGTCACAGACATGTCAGACACTGGCTGGGGAGCCCACCTGGGAGACCTTCACACGCAAGGTATGTGGTCTGTGGATGAGATATGCCTGCATATCAACATCAGGGAGCTCCAGGCAGTCTGACTGGCTTGTGTGGTTTTCCTTCCCCACCTCAGGGGCAAGTCTGTCCTCATCCTATTGGACAATACGACAGCGGTGGCGTACATAAACAAGCAAAGTGGGCCTGTTCCCCTTGCCTGTGCTTTGAGGTGATTCACCTGTGGGAACTTTACATTGGGGTGGATATCCGCCCGATGGCCTTGTATCTCCCAGGCTCCCTTCCTAATACCACCTTGGAACTTTCCCTTGCAACAAACCCCGTTGCCAGCTTTGTCCACATATTTGCTCTGCTGACACCATTATTGGACCTAACCAATTGAGTTATAAGATCAAGAACACATATTCCTGCTCATCCAGAAATATAATTTATGCTATTATGTGCCGACAGTGTCCGTCTGCGATGTACATCGGACAAACGTCTCAGACACGTTGCCAAAGAATCCATGCACACAAAACAGATATCAGACAGGATCACAAAGAAAAAACAGTTTCTTGCCATTTCAACCAGAAAGGACATTGTCTCAACGACCTTACTACCTGCATCCTGCTTCAAAGACATTTTAACACCAGACTTGAAAGAGAAACCTCTGAACTGTCATTCATGCTTAAATTGGACACTTTAGGCCTGGGTCTCAACAAAGATGCTAATTACCTTACCCATTACAAAGATAGCTTCCCCAATTATCACCTCTAATATCATTAGCTCACAGACACTAACCTCCCCCCCTCATTCCCCCTCTGTTCTGAAATGTGATTTGTCCTTTTTATGTGTTCACTTTTTTTGTTTGTATCCCTTTGGTATATATGGTCATGCCAATTTTCTTCCACTATTGGATCTGAGGAAGTGGGTCTGGCCCACGAAAGCTCATCACCTAATAAACCAGCTTGTTAGTCTTTAAAGTGCTACATAGTCCTGGGTTTTTTTTTTTTTTTTCAGTTTCTGGGGAGATACTGGGGAAATTACTTCATGGTTTTTGAGGGCAGAATCAGCTGCCCTATTCTCTTCAATATTAGGAGTTCAAACCCTCCCTCTCTCTTAGTTCTTCTCTATCGTGATCAAGCCTTCCCAAACAGAAATGGGTCTGCTGAGGAGGACAGGCAGGTTTAATATCAATATTGTACATAATTCCTTCCACGTAAGGCTCTCAAATACTAATGCGAGTGTGAGCCTCGTTAGCTGTAAGGTAGGTCAGTTTTATCCTCTTTAACAAGGTGAACAGAAGCGGGGGCATGCTGATGCTGTCTGAGCTGCAGCGAAAGCCAGGAGGGAGCTGTAGAAAGGGCTGTCCGGGACCAGTTGCAATAGGGCAGCACCTGTAAGCCATTTTGAGTTATTTTCACTTCTGCTCTTTACATACACTCGCAGCAGGGGAAGGGAAGGGAATCAAAGTGATTTGATCAAAGTCACTGAGGTCTAGTGCTAGAGCTGGGAATAGAATCTGGATTTCCTGATTCAAAATAATCCTCATCCACCAAAGTACAGCTCCTTTTACAAGACCCATTGAACTACACGATTTTAAAATGAAGAAAATGTGCATTGGTGCACTAGAGTGGCTCCAGTAATCTCTCTTTGTAGGAAGCCAGAGACATGGTATTCCCTAGTTTTAGCAGCAATTTCCAGGACTGCGTTTTTCCAGGTGAGTCTCTTACTAGTTAGCTCCTTGGACAACAGAGGACTGTGTTCCCTGCTTCCGGTAGAGCTGTCTCATAGGTACCTGTGTGAGGTAGGGGTGTGTCAAGACTGAAATCTGATGCCTCATTCTTAAACTGATGTGGGGGTGGAGGGAGGAAGAGGGAGGAAGGACATGTTCCTTCGTGTACACAGCTAATGAAGAGAGAGAGAGAAACTGTCCAGGACTTACTTCCGTAGCTGAAGAAAGGAAAAAGGGGAGTCTTTTCAGCACTTTCCCCTTAAGTCTCGTCCTACCCTTGTGCTCTGGAGGAGTCAATCCAGAGCCAAGAGAAAATGAGCTTAACCTGGCGCAAAGGTTTTTACAGGCAAGACGTAAACAAAACCGTCTGGGAGCTGCCCAGAAGATATACTTCCCTCCATCCAGTGGGATCTGGGGCGTATGGCTCTGTCTGGTGAGTGGGTTTTGGCCTTCCTTCTGTCAAGGGTCCTAGCAGGGAGGAATAGGTGGTATTTGAAGCATGGCTTATGGGAAGAAAACAGGGGAGGTGCCTCTTAGCTGTCCTCCATTATGAAATTTGCATGTTGGAGGAGGGTTTGTTTTCATCCTGCCATAACTAAAGTCACAGCAAAACATCTGCTTGTGCTGAAAGTGGGTGTTAACTGCCTGAAAAGCTGGGCCTCCCTAAACCTAAATGTACTACATTTTGGGAAGAGGTTGCTTCTGTATGGATTGCCCTCCAGGTGACAAGGGACTAGAGGCTCACCTGTTCTGTCTGGTTTTATTTGTTCAGTCCATGGGTTTCCTCTCGGTTAATGATGAACGATCGTCTATCTCAGCGGGAAGAACTAAGCCGAGCTTAGCAGAAAAATAATCTTTTTTCATAGGAGTGAGTGAGATTGTTACTCCCCCGCCAAAGATTCCTGGGCCTTGTACAGCCTGCTTCTTCCCCTGAAAGAAGACAGATTCTGCTGCTAGTCCTCTACTAATATCCTGGTTTAAATAGGACAGACTGGAACCTACTGCCATTTTAATGATGAAATCTGAGCCAAAGAAGGGACAGGACAAATGGAAAAATGATCAATAGTCATTGAGTCCCATCATCTGAGCAAAGGCAACCAGTATAAAATGAATGAATAGGGTCAGATTCTGCTCAGTTGCATGTGTGTAACTTTAAGGAGTTACTTCCAGTTCATGTCCTTATGAGATCAGAATCTATCCCTTGCACAAATACTCGAAGGCAAAAGAGAGACTTATTCACTGCACTCGGTATTCCACAGGAAATATCCTGCCTGATTGTCATTAACAAGATCATGTAACATATCCCATTCATAGCCCTGGGACCATAGGACTTGCGCCTTGGTAGGCTGCTTTTTGGTGCGTAAAGTCCGAAAGACATGTTTTCTCTACTTGTTCTTCACATTATACATACAGATTTTGTTGACTTTAAAAGACATCGGGTCCCTGGAGATGGAGTAGAATTATGGCAGCAAGAGACAGTCACTCTTAGGGTTTGAAATTATTATGGCAGCAAGAGACAGTCACTCTTAGGGTTTGAAATTGTATTTTGGGTCATATCTATTTAACTTCAATAGCCAACAGTTTCTCCAAAATATTCATTTTTTTGTTAATGATTCGACACATTTGCTCCTTCATGTTCTATGTGCATGCTCCTAAATAGGCATCTCCAGCGAAAACAGAGAAACCCAGATTTTTTATTCTTGACATTGTAAAGGTTAAAAAAAAATTGAGAAAGAAATGATCCTTCCAGACCTTCTTTATACATCCTAAAGCAATAAGGAAAACACAGAATAAACCCTTTACTGCTCCTTTTAAAGGAAACCAATCTCTAGCTCAGCTGATGTGGAAACTCTCCAATTAAAACACAGCAGCTTGTTTGCCCTAAATTATGCCAGAACTCCATGGATGACGCATGCTTGCTGGTTTTGGTGCTGATTCCTGGGTGAAGTACAAGTGGAAGCTTGTGGAATTAGGATTTGCTGTCCTCTGCTGGGAACCACTGGCATGGTTCTTTCTACAATAGTCCATATATCTGGGTCTCTTTAAAACTCTATGTGCTGTTATGGAAGCAAATATAGGAAGTTACCAAAGCGTCCCCAATTGGCCCTGAAAAACGAATTCCTTTGTTAAAATATTTGTTTCATCATTTCTATAGCAGATTTCACATATCTTTATGGTTAGTTTTGATCATATTGCCATGTTCTTACTACTTTATATTGCGAGCACACTCTCCTTTCTAAAGAATAGCTTTCCCTTTCCCTTGAAAACAAGAGACAGTTTTGGGACCAGCTGATATCTTTTTGAATTGACATAAACAGTTACATTTTTCCGAGGGAAATTTTGTTTGTTTCCCTAGCACGTTCTTCAATTGATGATATGGCTGGTTCTACCAATTTATTTCCTTTTTCAAAGGAAAGCACTCTAGTTTGTAACCAAGGTTTTCAATTTTTAAAGAGAAACCATTGCCAACATTTTTTCAATGGGAAGTAGAAGACTTGATTTGTTCCTGCTGGTTGATTGAGTTTTTTCTTCAGTTCACTTCACTGCAGACAAATGTCACCTCTCAATAGCAAGCAAGCAGGTAGATAAGGTAGGGCATGTAGAAGGTCCATACCATAGTGCTTGTCTCATTGCACTTGTCATATCAAAACTGTCCCTTCCAAGACATACATTGCTCTCCTGAGTTATCCCATCTTCAGGAATGATGCATCTTTTCAACGCTTCCTACATCTTCCTTGACCACGTTATTTGCTACTCACTTGCCATCTACAACTGCATCAGAACTGGATTAAAATGAACAAATGATGAGCCAGCATTCAAGTGGGTAGTGTTCTCAAGAGACTTGAGTTCTTGAACACATTGACTAGGGACAGGTGTTCTCCTGCACACACAGATTGTAGCAGTCTTGTGTCTTACTCCATCAACTCTATGTTGTCTTACAATGAGAGTCCCTTCAAGAACATCTTTCTGGGTGTTTTACTCAGATGTGCAGAAAGGAGTCTTCTGCAAGCATTTTGGGGCAGTGTTTTTTTGGATGATTATGACTCAAAAGTCAGGGATCCTGATGCAAACTTTTAACAGTTCAGTGAAGTGCAAGGTATAGTCTTAGAGCACAGCAAATCAACGTCTCACACACCCAGCTCAGAAAGAACTTTATGATGGGCATTAATCATTAATTCCCATATTTACAGTCAGATTAGCAGAGCAAAACCATACCAAACCACGTGGCCACTTCCTCCCTGTGGTGCTGCGGCACATCATTTCAGACAATGATAGTCCTGTCAGAGACTAGCCCAGCTCAGCATCATCAAACCTTGAATGAGATTTCCTGTCTAGCAGTTGACACTGCTGATAAGAGAACCTCTCAAATCTGGTTCAAAAATTGCAACGTACACAAGCACAGCTATTAATCTACTGGAGTGTATTGGGTAAGAAGTGACACTAGAAAACTTTGAATTGTTGGGGCATTTCTTAACTGTGGTTTGCAGATGAAACCTCTGACAACAGTTGCAAGGAACAATTGACCCTTTGCTGAAGGTACTGACATAATGCAGCCTCAGAGAAAAACTTACAAAATTCCATGTGGGCTTGGATGCAACACAGCAGAGACACTGAGCTGAAACGGTAGGGGTGGATATCTATGACCTTATGGCTTGGGGCTGCGATTGAGCTAGTGCAACACGCAGGAGGCTAGGTGCTTATTTGCAGTGAGCTCCTAGTAGCGCTGTTTGTTTACTGGGTAGATCCCTATATGTGGTGACTAGTGAATCCAGTGACGTTAAATTGCATTCATCAGTAAACCAGCAAAAAGAGCAACCCGTCTGGGAGTAAAAGGCAGCAAATAAATGGCTCTGTTATTTAGGATGACACGCTGTGAGTAGTTCCATATATTTACTGACCCAAAGAAGAGCTCTATGTAACGCCAAAGCTCATCTCCTTCACCATCAGAAGTTGGTCCAGCAAGAAGTTGGCCTCGCCCACCTTGTGTGTCTGATATCCTGGGACGAAGATGACCACAGCACTGCAAGCAGATATTTACTGACAGTTAGCCAGCTACTGATGCTGTTTTATTCACAAATAATGAACACAGGGCAGTGCGATTATTCTCCTTCCTACTTTACAGATTAGAATTAGCATTCTTGGGCAAGGCACAGCGATCAGACTGGGCTCCAGAGCACCACAGCTGGGCGCCTGTGCAGCCACTCAGGACAGATTCCAGTGGCGCCCTGCTGATCGGCAGAGCGCCCACAGCTTGGTTTTGTTTCTACTGGGGGTGCACATGGCACTTGCCTCTGTGCGTATAAAAATGTATTCTGCACATGAATGGAAAGGGGTAGAGGGAACAGGGACCACAACTGATTGACTTGTACCTACCAGTGAGGTATAACAGCATTTGAGAATTGCGTCAAAATGAGGGGGTATAGGACAAACGTTTCAAGCTTGTTGCCAAGCAGAAAACACCATTTGACACTGTAGGCAGAGCATTATTGTAGCCATTGTTTGCTGTTTCTTCCATGTATGGATGCTTGGAATCAACAGGAAGTTTTACAGCTTTACTGCCTAAGTACACTTGTACATCTGTCAGCCAAAGGGCAATTAACTTGTTAGTCCTGCATGGATTATTTGTGTAAGAATATTACATGTATCTTGAAAGTGCAAAGTTTAAGAAATCCTAAGGATAGCATAACGGCCAGCTTTGCAAGCCACTCGATTCGTTTTGGTAATCCTTCTGGGGATAAATAGACACTTATAGCAGGCGGTGGAGGAGGGTATGGATGCAGAATAATACAGCTAACACAGATGTCATATTTAAATTCCAGGCCAAAAAAAGAATCAGCATGTATCTTGTTTACACTGTGTTTCTTGAAAGAAAATTAAAAGACTATTGTTTGCCAGGCTGAAGCAATTATTCTGAAATATGTAGTCTCTCCTTTATTGTTTTGGTCTATACTTGTTTTTATTTCAACAAAACAAGTTATGTATCATATAAAAAAAGATAAAAGTACCTTAAATTTATATTTAAAAAATATAAAAAATATTATATGAGCAAATAACAATTTTACACATCAAATTATTGTATTATATTCAAACAAGACCTGACAAAATATTATACCTAAAGTATAATCTATAATAATAAATAATGACGACTTTCCGATAGAAGTACATTGGAGGCCCTGAAAGCTATCTGTTTTCATTTGTGTGGCCTTTAGTAGGCTCTGAGTTTGCCATGCCTGTTGTAGAGTGTTTATCTGATGGTAGAGAACTAGAGCCAAGATCACTAAGGTATTTGGGCAGACAGAGATGCAGACAGGTGCCTAATGGGATTTGCAGAACACCGATCTGCATCTTTGGCTACTTAAATACACTTACAAATCTGGCCCATTGTCTCTATTTAGTGCCGGCAAAGGAGCTGAAAGTGGCAAGAAAGTTTGAGCACATTTCAGTGCCAGTTAACGTAAATCAGTGGAACCCAATGCTCTTTCACAGCATCCATGCATTGACAAGCATATTTGTTATTCTGCTTGTACCATGGCTGCTGGGGCATGCTTTTTTCACTCTTCCTTTCCTGAAAAGTCTCAATGAACAGCAATGATTGAGAATGATTCGGAACTGAGTAATTCTGATATTGATGCATCCACAGGTGGTCTGAGACAGACTGAATAAAAATGTTACTGACTAACTTAGCAAGTCAGCCAACATCTTGGAAAATCTCTTGTCTGAACCATTAGTTATCATAAAAACAAGGAGCCTTGTGGCACCTTAAGGACTAATAGTTTTATTATGGCACAAGGTTTTGTGAGTTGCAATTCATTTCATCAGATGCATGAAGTGAGGGAAAAAAAGAAGCAGATACAGAGATGAGATACACATCTGAAGAAGTGCTCTGTACCCACGGAAGCTCATGATCACATCTATATGTTTTGTTAGTCTTGAAGGTGCTACTAGACTATTCGTTGTTTTTTAAGAGATGGGAGTGTTACATCAGAGCTAATTCACTCAGAGTGGATGTGGATAAGAAGGTGAGGAGAATATCTAAAGTGGAAAGTTACTTACTGTAGTGAGAGAGCTATTCCCAGTCCCTATTCAGACCCACTCTGATTGTGTCAAATTTGCACATGAATTCCAGCTCAGCGATTTCACATTGCAGCCTGGTTTTGAAGCTTTTTTGCTTGAAGATGGCAACTTTCAAGTTTAATACTGTGTCCAGGGAAGTTAAATGTTCTCCTGCTGTTTTGTGTATGTTACCATTCTTAATGTCTGATTTGTGTCCATTTATTCTGTTGCATAGAGACAGTCCAGCTTGTCCAATGTACATGGCAGAGGTCCATTGCTGGCAGACTATTGTAGTTTATAAGCAGTTCATTTGCAATCACCCTTGGAAATTCTAGAGTCACTACTGGTCACCTGGGACAGAGCAGGAGCTGCAGCTCCTTTGTGTGTGTGAATGAGTGGTGGGGAGCCACTCTTTACTTCCAAAGGCGATAAGACAAGGAAAGGGACCATCTGGTTTCAAACAGGAGGGGGATAGGCTGGAGTGTGCAATGTGATAACACTGAAATTCATGTGGGTTTGGTCAGGCTGTACCACTAGCCATCACAGCAGGAAATACAAGGTGATTTACAGCTCTCCAGTTTAACTAGTTGAGAGAGTGAATTGCAAAACGGCAGGAAGTTCACAGCCTAGCAAGGAGGCTTGGGCTGGAAAGTCCTGCTGCCTTCTCGCCCTTCAAGAAGCAGCAGCTGGAAGCTGTCAGCCGTAGAACACAGGCAGCCTTTCACAACTGTCTAGGGCTGACTGGCTAAGGGAGGTCTGATGCAATTCATTATGGAGGTTCCTCTTCAAATGCTTCCATCGTGGTAGTGTCTGGCAGCCTGCATGGCTTTTCTTTCCCTCCTGTGGCTGGTTAAATTGAGGGCCTGCCTTCTTTGCAACTGGGCTACGAAACATTGAGAGAAGAGGGGTTACCGAATTGTTTCATATGGAGAAATAAGTAGCCAACATGAATGGGGGGGCTCTCTTGTGCTACTTTTGAAAGTGAGGGGCTAACAGCCAAGGGCTCCAAAGTGCTAATCCTGCTTCAGACACTGGGTCCCTCGGCTGCCCTTGTTGCATCAGTTTCATACTAACCGAACAGGGATAATATCACCTTTGTCGGTTTATTGCAAACATCATTTACTAATATTGATACATTTCTGACAGTGAAAAGCACTTTCAAGTGTTCAATAAAATTCACTGTCTTAAACTGTATACACCATTAATGTGCAGCACAAAATACTTTCATGTGCAGTACAGTTTACAAACATTATCAAATTAATTCATGGATGTGTAAGGTCCTGGGAGACTATATAAGGCCTCGGTTGGAGTAGTGCATCCAGTTCTGGGCTCCACATTTCAGGAAAGATGTGGAGAAATTGGAGAAGGTCCAGAGAAGAGCAACGAAAATGATGAAAGGTCTAGAGAACATGAGCTATGAGGAAAGACTGAAAGAATTGGGCTTGTTTAGTTTGGAAAAGAGAAGACTGAGAGGAGACATGATAGTGGTTTTCAAGTATCTAAAAGGGTGTTACAATGAGGAGGGGAAAAAATTATTCTCCTTGGCTTCTGAGGATAGAACAAGAAGCAATGGGCTTAAATTGCAGCAAGGGAGGTTTAGGTTGGACATTAGAAAAAACTTCCCAATAGTCAGGGTGGTTAAGCACTGGAACAAATTGCCTAGGAAGATTGTAGAATCACCATCACTGGAGAACAGTTTAGACAAACAGCTGGTGCTTGGTCTTGCCATGAGGGCAGGGGACTGGACTTGATGACCTCTCAAGGACCCTTCCAGTTGTAATATTCTATGATTCTGTATTGACCATCTAGTCTGACCACCTGCATAACACAGGCTAGAGAATTCCATCGAGTAATTTCTGCATCAAGCCCATCCATTCTGTTTGAGCTTAAGTGTATATGTTAGAGAGCCATCCAAGTCTTGATTTCCATTTTGAGACATTAAATGAGACACAATCTGCCACATCCCCAAATAAGTTGTTCCAGTGGTTAATTAACTTACTTGAGTGCTCAGTCCTTGGAAGTAGACAGGCATTAATAGAGCTGGGTAGGAAATGTTTCTATCCTCTGAAAATTACAGATTGCAAAAAATGTTCCCTTCTGGAATCAGGATGAACAGTCAAAATGTCAAAAATGTTCACAACCCAGAAAAACATCGATGTTGATGAATAGGCATTTCCTGATTTTAAAAAATGCATTTTGAATACAGGTCACAGAACTAAGACAGAGATGAAATGGCTCATAAAGAAGGTCAAGCTGTGAGTCAGTGCAGAGCTAGGAACACAGCACTTCGGATTCCCGCATCCTGTAGTCTAAGCACTAGAAAACACACCCAGCTTGACCTTGTCTCAACTAGGCCTGGTGTGCTCTGTGTCTGACCTACAGGCTGTGTGCTGGCTTTCTTGAGAAATACTTGTCGCTCCCAAGATCCAGCATCCTGGGAAATCAACTCAAGCAACATACCCTTTCCAAAAGGGGATGTTTGTGGATTCTTGCCCTTCCCCTATATTGCTCCACAGTGCTGACCCTTCTTCTCTGCATATGTGCAACGTGCCTCAGGTGGCATGTGACTAGGATTCTTCACTGAATTTGGTACACTGGCTGGTTCATTAGCCTCCCTGGCCCGGTCGGAGTCCTGCTGGGGAGTGCTGATCCATGCCCCCCAGGGATGACTCTCTCCCAGGCAATAAGAGCATCCTGAACCATTCACGGAGAGGGAGGAAAGCATCATTTGTTATCTGTAGATCTCCTCTCCCACAAACACCGTCCCCAAATGTCAGAAATCCTGAGCAGGCAAGACGAGGGCAAGGGCACAGGAGGAGAGGTTCAGAGCAGCCAGCAGGGTTCCCAAAAGCCAGTTAGCTCAGAAGGAAAGGAAGAAGTGGGTCTCCAAGACCCAGTGGAAGGGCCCTGTGTGCGGGTGCAGGAGATGGGTTAGCCCTGACTGCCAAGCCTTTGTTTTCACATTACAGGGCATTTCTTTAGCACTAACACATCTTCATTGGCTGGAGCAACGGGGCTGTGCCACAGCATGAGCATTGCAACCTCCACAGTGGGACCAGCATGGGCCCACGGGCAAGGTGTGGGGGCCTGGTTCTGCATCCCTGGAAGGGGCTGGGCCTCAGGTGGAGCCGGGGCAGCCAGCCCTCAATGCCCCTCCAGCACTCAGAGCCTCATGGAGCACCTGGTAGGGCGATTCTGGTGCGAATTCAGAAGGCCCTGGGGTTCCAGCATCACAGAAGCAGTGTCCAGGAGCTCTGGGTCCCTTTGAAACACCGGGCCCTGGTGCAATTGCCCACCCAGTTTGTGGGCTTAGAATCATAGAGCTGGAAGAGACCTCAGAAGATCATCAAGTCCAGCCCCCTGGCTCTAGGCAGGACCAATTCCAACTAAATCAACCAGAACAGGGCTTTGTCAAGCCGAGACTTAAACACCTCTAGGGATGGAGACTCCATCACCTCCCTACGTAACCCATCCCAGTGCTTCACCACTCTCCTAGGGAAATAGTTTTTCCTCATATCCAACCTGGACCTCCCGCACTGTAACTTGAGACCATTGCTCCTTGCTCTGCCATCTGTCACCACCGAGAACAGCCTTTCTCCAATCTCTTTGGACCCCCCTTCAGGAAGTTGAAGGCTGCTCTCAAATCCCCCCTCACTCTTCGCTTCTGCAGACTAAACAGCCCAACTCCCTCAATTTCTCCTCATAGGTCATATGGACCTCCATGTCATCTAATCTCCTTCAGAGCAGCTAGAGCTGGTCAAAATATTGGTAGTAGCTGGCTCACACCAGAGAGGCCGTGAGAACATCGCAGTACAATGCTGGCATCTACAACTGCATTCCACACAGCGTGTAAAAAGATCCAGGGGAAAGGACCCCTTTTCCTTGATCCGCTCTGGACCCCTGCATCCATCCTTCCCTTGTCAGGCCACTTGTTGGACGACGATTGAAAAGGCCTTTCCTAACTCAGAATTGGTTGTGTTTGTTTGTCGCAGTTCGGCCATAGATAAGAAGACAGGGGAGAAAGTGGCCATCAAGAAGCTGTGCCGACCATTCCAGTCAGAGATCTTTGCCAAGAGATCGTACAGGGAGCTGATGCTGCTGAAGCACATGCAACATGAGAATGTGAGTATGCGGACGTGTGGAAAGAGGGCTGCAGAGTAAGGTCAGGTGGTGGTGATGCAGGGACAAAGCCATGATGTTTCTCCTGAAGCTGCTGCATTGGAAATGGCCATTCTGATGTAGGGGTACCACACTCCCTCTGGGAATTAAAGGGCAATTCAGTTTCCATGTTTGTTCGGGGGAGGGGGTCTTTTATGCTGCCTCTGCCACTGCTCCAAGCGTGGTGTTGGACTTGCAGCACAGACAAATGTCCAGTTTGTAAGAGGGGAGCTAGCCTTAAAGCCCCACGACAAGGCTCTAAAACCCTCGCAAGGTATCCAACAGGGTCACATGACTCTGGAGTTGCAAGCTGTTAGAATACTGCTCTTCCGGTCTGACCTTTCCCCGCTTCCCCTGCAGGTCATTGGCTTGCTAGATGTCTTCACCTCGGCCACCTCCTTCTCCGCATTCCAGGACTTGTAAGTTTCGTGGAGTTTTACCAAGTGTTTAGCATTCCCTATTGGCTCAGCGATTGCCTGGGACGTTTGCAGATTTAGAGCTTGAAGACGGAAGTTTGACCTGTTGAGAAGCAATCCCATGAGTTGATTTGGAAAGGGGCCAATCTAAAGGGATGGTGTAGACAGAGCTTGGTCCTGCCTTGAGGGTGGGGGGCTGGACTCGATGACCTCTTGAGGTCCCTTCCAGTCCTATTATTCTATGATTCTATGATTCTAAAGCCAGAGATCCCCAAATAAATGTATATTAGGAGGCAAGAAGCACAGATCGCTAAAATCCCTGGTTGCTAAAATCCCCAAAAGACATAGAGGCAAGTGGCTCTCACACATCATGTTCTAGGCGCATGTATCAGACGTATTGATTTATATCCTGTCAATAGCACACCAGGCGCTGGCACCCAGATGAATGGTGATGGGCACCTTAGATTCTCCTAAGACCGAGCGATGCCTGTTAGCCTAGGCGGCAGGTGAAGCTTGCCTTGGAGCTAGCTAGCTCCCCGTCCTGTCTCTTCCACTTGTAGCTCCACCACAGCATCCCCACCGCTGTTCACCCCATCGCCTTGCCTCCTTACCCATAGCCTGCCACGTCCCTCCTCGCCCCTGCCCTGAGAGTATGAGGTGTGGGAGAGGAGGAATGTAGTGAGCGGTGGGTCTCTCCGGAGAGGAGTGGAGGGGACGAGGAAAACTCACCAGGCAGTACAGCTGTAGCAGGCGGCAGGGGCAGAGCAGGGAGGGGATGCGGCAGGAACACCATGGCCCGGGGTCAGGCAATGGAAACTGCTTCAGGGAAGGCTTAGCCTGCCCTGGCCTATTGTTCCTGCCACCTAGGGCTGCTTGTGCAGTGTTTTAAATGTAATCTTGGTGTATTAAGGGGGCAGAGGACCAATAGCAAATTGTCCGGTCCTAGACTACTAAAAATGAAACTTTCAAAAATCTTTTTTTTTTTTGCCTTTTATGTTGATTTTAGGGGCAGGAGCTGGGCATTATCTTCCGCTTAGAGGGAACAGCTAGACTGGCCAGGGTAGAGGCTGTGAGGGGATAAGTCTGGGACCTGAGACAGCAGTGTCGCATTTAAAAATCCATGAAATATTTCAGACCTCTCGTTCGCACGTTGGTGATGGTCTAAGACTGTCCAGCTGTGAGCAGCGTGCTCTCTCTCTCATCTCTGGTATCTTGCGTTGGGTCCCAGGAGTAGGGCAGATTTTTTTCCAAGGTGGAGGGAGTAGAAATGGCACTTTCCAGAGCAGGTAGCAACTTGAATTTCCTCGCTGGTTGTCCTACTAATCCAGTGACATACTAAAACTCTTCTGTTCTTCAGAGCGAGACAAGGCTAGCGTGGCTCCTTATGTTTCTCTCCTAGACTCAGGGACTTGTCTTACTGCCTTTTAGCTACCTGGTGATGCCATACATGCGGACAGATTTACAAAAGATCATGGGGCATGAGTTCAGTGATGAAAAGATCCAGTACCTCGTCTACCAAATGCTGAAAGGGTTAAAGGTAGGTGAACCTGGACTAGCCACAGGCTTCTGACCGATTTACACACTGACTCGCCAGGTCTCCCTTAAGAGTAGATTTTGCTCAATATTATCTGAGTGAATCCTTAAATCAGGGACAGATTAACCTGAGGGATCATCGTCCTTATAACACAATTCACGTCTTATGCTTATTCATTCAAAATTCATTTTTCCTGC